ACAGTTTGAGTCTTCTCAGCAATAATGCAGAATCCTTAAATGCAGCTTTCCACCAGCCTTCTGTCATTGCTATTGGCTGTTTGTCTCCACAGATCTGGGATGTGACGCAGGTGGTTGGCTGTAGCTTAGCAACAGGCTTCTCTCCGCGCTGATTGGCCCGGCCCACTACATGATCCGCCCACTCTTCCAATGTCATGGAAACCCCTCTGTACAGTATATCTCCCCATCACGCCTGGGATCTTCAGCTACAACCAGTCCTGCTCTTGGTGACTGTGTGACCGTGTGTGTGTGACCGCGTGTGAGAGCGTGTGTGAGAGCGTGTGTGTCTGTGTGTGGAGATAGTGCAGCCCTCCACATTCATTTTGCTTTTCATAACCAATTGGTCTTTAATTTCACTAACTTTCAGTCCTACATGAAAGTGTGAGTGACAGATTTTTTGACTGCTCTGATCCGAAACAGAACCCTAAGCACAAATGGTGTGTGTGTACATGTGTGCATGTATCGTAATGATTTCTCCTTTGGGAGGAATGGTATTGATATTAGTGTTTACATTATATTAATATTTCCAATGCTTCTTTTGACAAAGGTCATTTTTTTTATTACTCTTGCACTGTAAAGTTAGGTTTCACTAAATCCCTGACCTGCCATTCCTGTAGAAACATACACTAGCCTGCTTATTATTGTGGCCCACTAACTGCATATTACTCAGTCACTGTAACATGTACAAAAAGACCCTGATCATCTGTATATACCCCTGCATCATGTGTATACTAGATAGTTGCTTGAATTGACTCTCACTGATCAAAGTGATCAGCTTTTTCTGTCTTTTTTTCCTCCCTTTTTTATTTGTTTTCTTTCACTAGTTGGCCTTAAATTACTCTCAGGAGGTTATAAATCAGTAAGTTGTCACTGGGCGGGGGCTCTTCATGTCAGTCGTAAACCATTGTTAATGTGTAAACAGTTGAGCGTGGTAGTAAAATCAATAGAACAGCCTCTTTTTTGATAGAAGAAGGAAGTCCCTTGATTTACACACGCAGATGTTGCCATAGAAATGTTATGTTCTTGTCAGATGTTTGCATGACAGCACTGACCCAGCCTGGTGAGGCATGGGAAATTTGAATATGTTCCCATAGTGACATGCACTGACCAGGCATCAAACATCTTGTCGCAGCCATCCCGAGGTGCACCAGTCGAATTACAATTCAATATTTGATTGGTGTAACTTCTTTTCAGCTTTCTGGGTTTGAGTCTCCAACTTTTATTTTGGTAAAAACTAGTTTAGAAAATAGCACAGCATCACCACCTCCTAGATATTTATTACTCTCTGTAAAAAACAAAAACAAAATGTACTGACTGTGTAGGAAGATACCACATGGCACTGATGGTGTAAACCCAAGATTTTAATGCCTCATGAGAATTTTTTGTGATGCAAAATTGGATTTCCTCCCACCAGAGAGGCACTTAGGTACAGACAGGTACTCTAAACTAAATGTAGCACTAAATGCTGGCGTGTTGAATCGTCCCCAGTTGAATCTCGGGTCAGATCAGGGCTGCCTGTGTTCCTTCAAAAGCCTTAAAAGAGAGGAGGACACACTCACAGAGCCTTTTTAGCGGTTTTCCAGTGCTTACGACTGTTCACTCACCATCATTCACTCTCGAGCACTCACCTCATCATGAAGCTCTGGATGTCTCGTTTCCTTTTGTCCTTTGTTTTTGTTTCAAATTGTGTTCCGAGCTCTCCTTCTTCCCCCACACATCTGTGCATCATAACGCTCTCACCACTGCACTGAATTGCACAACTCGTGGTCTTTGTCTTTGAATTAAAATAAATCATTTTTGTAAGTTTGGGAGGGGGTAATAGCTGGATTCGATGTAGCGTCCTTGTAAATAGCGGCTAGTATCTTCTAATGTTAGACTAACGCTTGCCTTATTGTAAGTGGAAAAATTAGCATTATAATGTTGGAATTCCTGATCTCAAAATGTAGTCACATTCCAGTTTTTTGATCATGTAGTGTATATTTATATTTGTAGTAAAGTATTTATCTGTTATCATTGTAAATGGTTGTTTACTTTTCTTTGTGCCCATCTAGTAGTCTTTATTTCCTAATAACAAAGTACAACATGTTAAGAACTCTGCAATGAAGCACATGGCCTGAGTAGTGTTGAGCTTGACTGCAGTCCCTAAAAGGGACAGAGTTGATTGGTTAATGAAGTGACAGCACTGTCATGTGACTGCTATTGTTTGCCATCACCAAGACCTTACTCCATGATATTTAGATGTCACACAATCATACTTGGGATTAGACTGAAAGCTAATTCTGATTCAATTTGTCAGTAGCCAATATTTAGCATGAATATGGTATTATGTTTATTATATTAAATCCATTATATTTTATCCATTCCCTCCAAAAAATTATTTTGGTCTAGATGGAAAATATGTTTTATTTCTGTGCACACATCTGGATTCTGGGTGCTCTGGGATAAAACATGCCTTCTACAGAATTATCAGAAATCATTTGCAAAATATATTATTAAAGTTGCAGTAATGGATTTTTTTGGGTGCCGCCAAAAGAGTAAATAAAATGTGAAAGATATTAAAGCTGCAATAATGTATTTCTTTTTGGCCACTCGGGTGTATTGACACGCTGTAAACACAACATTCACATATTGCCGCTTTATAAAGTTGTTGTGAACATTCTAGCAAACAGTCTGTCCACTTGATGAGGACCAATACTCACTCTTCTCCAGCGCCAGAGAAAAATAAGTCTCTTTAGCTGCTAAATGCTCCACTATGCTAACCAGCTAGCCACTAACTTTTCCCGCCGTTTGGTGCCGGGCAGGCAGCATACACGGGGATTATCAGAGCCTTTGCCTGCTGCTGCTGGAAATGAGGTGAATGAGGGAAGAGTTTGCGTGCAAACATACTGCTCTAAGAGAAGCTAAAAAGCTAAAAGAGGAGCTGTGTAGAGCTCCAGAGCTGGGTGAAAATTATCCGTACTATTCTCATTGTACTTAAGTGACATCTTTAACATTACATTTATGCATTGTTAATATAAAGATATTGAGTAGTACAGCTTTAAATTACTAAACAGAGTAAATGTTCCAGATGTTAAAGCTGTGTTACTGATTTAAAGAAAGTGGCACTTTCTGAGAGAAATATCTGGCTCTTCAGTTAATTATCTACCAGTCTCTATTGTCCATCTGCTCTTGGTGCTGAGGTAGTGTACACTCGCTTTATCTGAGCTTTTATTGTTAAAAACAGCTGGAAACATGGTGATAAGACCAAAACAGTAATGTAGCCCCTAAAACCAAAACAAT